ATGGAATTTTATTTAAATTTTCCAATATCTTTTCTTCTTACGACTTCTTCAAAACGATTAGTTTAGTTTTAAATATATATATATAATAACTTCTTTTTTACATGCTTTTAATCGTGAGAATATTACGATCAAGGTTTTCTCTTTATCAATATATTACGCAAGTGAGCACGCAATACATTTGAAACGACATAAAATTTTTCATGATATTATATTAACTCTTATCATTGAGAAAAAGAACAGTAGTTGTAAAAAAGAAAAAGAAAAAAAAAAGAAAAAGAAAAAAAAAAGAAAAATATCAAATAAAACGAGAAAGAAATATTACTGCGTGCCAGTGACTCTCTGAGTGAATGATTGTATGATCGACCGACAAGTATAATGTCATATGGGGCAAGGTCAATCGCGATCGATCAATTTCCGCGTTCTGTTTTACTTACTTGAACGTTTTCTTATACTTTTAGTTAGAAATTAAATAATAATAAAAAAAAAAAAGGTAAAAAACAGAGAAAAGAAAAATAGATAAATAGTGTGACCGATGCTAACAAGGACACGGCAATCATGTACAATCTCTGATTATTGTCAAACTTTTCACACTTGGTAGTGGGTTCATGATGAATGTGCATTATGTGTCCTTGTTATAAAATTAATATAACATAGGTAATTCAGAAAAATAAACAAAATAAAAATAAAGTGAATTATAATTATACTTTATACAATAATAAACATGAGAAATAATGAAATAAACAAAAATATTTACTTCGTCGCAGATTCGATCCAGCGACATTAGGAATACACAACCGTGCCGCACTCGTTATGCTACCGAAGCAAACAAATATAAATAAACATAAGAATTTATATAATATTTCTATCACTTCTTTTTCGCAAATCAATTTTTAAAGGGTGCAATGTATATTCCTTCATAAATCACTAGAAGTGTGGAAAAAGTTTGACAAAAATCAGAGGTTGTACATAATTACCAGTGCTCTCTTATAAGACTAAAATGTTTCTCGCTGAAGATTTTTGAAGAAGCGAGAAGGAAGAAGGAAATTCGAGATGGGTTGGTTGGTTGTACGGTTGGTCGGTTGGTCGGTTGGTTGGTTAGTTAGTTAGTTGGTTCGTTCATTCGTTCGTTCGCTCGCTCGTTGTTTGCTAGAGTAGCAAACACGAAGGTGTTGGAGCATGTTAAATGGCGGAATTCGGGCGGAACGTGCGGTTTCTTCGTTGAAATTATAAAGAATGATGATGACACACGTGGCGCCTATGAAAAGCCGGCGCTAGTCTCGTAAGAAAGAAAGAGAAGAAAGAATAATAGAAAGAGGAAGGTTGATGGAGAGGGAGGGGTGTTCTGAGATATAGAATGAAAGAGGGAGAGTGTTACGGATAGATATCGAGAGCCGGCCGGTTCCTAATTCGGATATAGGTGTGTAATGATGTTATTTTTAGAAGTTTAGCGCCTTTTCACTCTCCGCTTGCTTTGGCCGAACGCCAGTAACGCTCGCGCGCCCGAACGGAGGCCATGCGAAACACGTGGAAGCATTGTGGGTCTTTTACGCATGCGCTTGCTCTGTCTCTTCATTTATACTCATCTTTCTTTCTCCTTTTTTCCCTCTCTCTCTATCTCTCTCTCTCTTTCTTTCTTTTCTTTTCTTTCTTTTTATTATTTTTTTTATTTTCTTTTTTCTTATTTTTCCTCCCACCGGTAGTCTGTGAATTTAAGCGCGTCGACTAAGCGTTGGCGCCTTCCTCGTTCCTTTTTGCTTTTTCTGCTAATAAGAGTCGAACAGTTTCTTCGTGTATATGAAGTTCCTTGAGGACAACGAGTTTTTAAAAGTTTCATACTTTTTTCTTCTTCTATATCATCGGTTTTATGTCTTTTTTTTTGTTTTTTTTTTTTTTATTGATTCACGCACGTGTTTCTTGATATATAATTGGAGTGATACATTTATCGAGACAAGTAATAAACGATTTCTTAACGTCGTGAAAAAACATTATACGCTCGTGAAAAATATGTTTATTTAATCGATACTTCTACGTTTTATTGTATCTAAACAACTAAACTTTAATGAATGTGCATATTATTAAATGAGTCCGCCGGTATAATTGATTTTTATCAAAAGCTTATAATTATAGTTAGACGTGATAGTTGTAATCCGATTAGAATAAATAAAGCGTGAATCGACGAGGCAAATCGTCGACACCTCGGTTTGTTTCCGTTCACACGAAATTCGTCGCGTTTACTTCGTCATTTCTTTTTTTTTTTCTTTCAGAATTCTCTGTTTTACGTAATGCTTTGGGTCAAAGTGGTCAGGGTGAGCGAAAATATAATATTGAATCGTGTATGCAAATCAATGCAAGTTTCAATATTAAACACTATACTGTCCTAGTGTTAGATACAACGTGCACGTGTAAATAATCTCTTTTACATAAATATGATTTGAAAATTGAAGATTTAAAAATGTATTATCTTATTAATCGAATCATCGATCTTTTTACTTTAGATTACTGTCTAATTTGTATTTTTAGTCGGAAGTAGTTGATAAGACTTTTCTTAATGAAAAGAGGCCGAATATGAGTATCTGCGGAAGTAGGGAAAAGGATATGATTAGAGGAACGTACTTTGGTTTTGGCCTTGACAAAAGTCATCATTGTTCGTATCCGGGTTTGTCAAAGAGAGAAAAAGGAAAGAAGGAAGAGAGATGAAGAGAGTAATCTGGAGCAACCGGATTTCCAGCGATTGCGCGGAACGTCAGACGAGTACAGAAACAGTGTACGCCTACATATTCTCTATCTTCCTCTCTCTCTTCCTCTCTCTCTCTCTCTCCCATTGTCTTTCCTTATTCTTTGATCAGCACGTGGTATCGTTCGCCTTGTCAAAGGGTGTCCTTGCTTCTAACGGTTTGGTTCGTGACTCGTCTTGAACTCGAAAGAGTCGATTATGCGTTTGCCCTTGTAAACGACAGGAGTCTTCAGATAAAACATTATCGAACATCCGCCAAAAGACGATTAACACGTTGACTGCCACGCGTGTTTACAACAAAATCCCCGTCAGGCCACCCGTGCCACTGTAAGATGCGTGCTCTGCTACCGCATGTCTGTTTACATTTCTTTCGAAATGAAAAAAATGAATGAATAATGAAATGAATAATGAAAAAAATGAATAATGAAAAAAATGAAT